ATAGCCAAATCAATCTGGTCAAAGAAGAACAAATCTAGAGACATCACACTCCCTAATTTCAAACTTTGTTACAAAGCTATAGTAATCAAAATGGTACGTACTGCAAAAAATAGAGACCAAGTCCAATGAAACAATCAAGAGCTCAGAAATAAATCCATTCATATGCAGTCAACAAATATTTCACAAGGGAGCCAAGAAGAAGTAATGGGGAACATACAGTCTTTTCAATAAATTGCACTGGAAAAACTGGATAATGACATACAGATGAATACAACTGGACCCCATTCCTGTAGCACTCACAAAAATTAACTCTGAGTGGACTGAAGGCTTAAATATAAGACTTAAAATGGTAAAAGTACTTGAAGAAAATAGAAAGAAAAAGCTCCTTGGGATGGTTTTGGCAAATATTTTTTGGATACGACACCAAAGATGCAAGAAACAAAAGCAAAAATAAACAAGTGGAACTACAGCAAACAAACAAACAAACAAAAAGTAAAAAACACTGCATAGCAAAATAAGTAATCAGCAAACTTAAAAGCAGCTGCAGAACAAGAAAACATATATGCAAACCTTTTTTTATTCACAAAACCATTTTTGATAAAATATATACATAACTCATGAAATACTAACAAATAAAAAATTAAAAATGGGCTAAAGGACTTGAGTAGACTTTCTTTTCTCAAAAAGGACATACAAATGCCCAACAGGTACATGAAAAAATACTCAACATCAGTAATCATCAGGGAACTGCAAACCAAAACCACAAGGAAACATCACCTCACACCTGTTAGAATGGCTATTATAAAAAATAAAAAAATTGTATTTTCAAGAGTATGAAGAAAAGGTAACTTGCACACTTTTTGGGTGGAAATGTAAATTGGTACAGCAGAATGAATGTAAGAGACTTAAACTGGACCCCATCTTACACTACTCACAAAAATTAACTCACAATAGATTAAAGAGCCAACTGTATGACTTGAAACCATAGAACTCCTAAAAAAAATCATAGAGGAAAAGCTTCTCAACCTTGGTCTTGGGAATAATGATTATTTGGATATGACTCCACAGGACAGGCAACAAAAGCAAAAGCAAAAAGAAATAAATGGGACTAAGTTAACCTAAAAAACTTCTGCATAGAAAAAAAATTGAAAAAACAAAAAAGGCATCATATGGAATAGGAGCAACTATTAGCATCACCATCTTTTGGTAAGTGGTAGTTACTCAAGTACATAAATAAATCATACAACTTAGCAGCCAAAAAAATCTAGTTAAAAATGAATAGAGGATCTGAATAGGCATTTTTTTCCTAAGAAGACATACAAATGTCCAACATGAAATGGTGTTCAACGTCATTAATCATCAGGGAAGTGCAAATCAAAACCATGAGACTATCTCTCACCTGTTACAATGGCTACAGTCAAAAAAGATAAGTGAGTACAAGAATTGGCAAGGATGTGGAGAAAAGAAAATCCCTGTGAATTTTTGGTAAAAATGTAAATTACCACAGCCACTATGAAGAGCAGTATGGAGGTTCTGCCAAAAATTAAAAGTAGTGTCCAGCTGTCCCAGCACCATTTGTCAGAGACAATCCTTTGCCCATTGAACACGTTTTACTCCCATCTCAAATATTTGTTGACCTTATATGCTTGGATTTACTACTAGGCTCTCTATTCTGTTCCTTTTTTAGACTATGTATGTATTTTAATACCAGTATCGTGGTGTCTCATGACTATAGCACTGTGATATAGTTTTAAAGCATGAAGTGTGATGACTCCCAATTTATTCCTTCTCAGGATTGCTCTGGTGTCTGGGTCTTTTGTGGTCACATCAAAAAATTTTAAGACGGATTTCTATCTGTGAAAAATGCTGTTGGAATATTGATAGAAATTGCATTGACCTTCTAAGTGGCTTTGGGTAGTATGGACATTTTAGCATTAATTCTTCTGGTCCATTAACCATACTTCTGGCCCAGTATATCTTTCCATTTGTTTTCACTTCTTCAATTTTTTCCAGAAGTCTTATAGTTTTTAAAGTACAATTTTTTCACTTTCTTAGTTAAGTTTATTCTTAAGTATTTTTTATTGGTTTTAATGTTATTTTGAAAGGGGAAAGGCTAATGTCTTCAACAAATGATGTTGGTTAAATTGGAAAACCACATGCAGAAAAATGAAATCGGACACCTACCTTCCACCACTCACAAATATAATTTAAAATGGATTAAAGACTGAAATGTAAGGCCAGGGCAGCCTGGAGGTGCAGATCCCCAGAGACAATGTTCAACCGATGAGGGACTTATGTTGACAAATATTCCAATCTCTCCATCCTCAGGTGCACGTTCTCATGATACCAGAGACCACCCTGATCTGCAAGGGGCTGAGGGGATTCCCAGGGTGCTGGACTTCCAGTGCTAACACAGGGTCAGGCTGGCAGCCTGAGATGGCTGGTCACAGTAATTGTATCTCCAAGGGCCCCAGGGGGTAGAGCCCAGCTGCCCACAGCAGGATCCTGTGCCCAATGCTCCAATTACTTGCTTTCCCTCCTTGTGTCCCATGTCCCCCTCTCTTGTACTTGAGTTTCCTGGGGTCATCCCCCCAATAAACCACCTACATCCTTGTCTCAGGGGAAACCCAGACTGAGGTCACACTCAGCTGTAAGGTGGTTCTCTTCCCTCCACTCTTGCTCTTTCATTCACTCCAGAGCCTTTCTCGTAACTAGGCTGAGCATGGGCTTGTGGAGTGGGCAGGGAAGATGTGGTAATAAAACTGTGAAGGACAGGTTGCCTTCATGCTGGGCATGCTGAGGGGACACGCATCCCACCACATCCTCAGGGACCTGTGTGCAGTTCCGGTGCTGTCAGCTGGCCCGTTCTCCACCTTGGACATCCCCACTGTGCCCATGCCTGTGGAGCCATGCTAGGTAGGGAAGAGAAATGTACACCTTTGCTCTCTGGGTGGAGTAGGAAAGAGGTCTCTGGTTTGTATCCAGGTTCTTGGCCCAGGCAGCTGAGCCTTCCTTGTCTCTGGTCTCTAGTCCCCTAGTGCTGACCGTGGCCCCTGCATCTTGGCTCATGGGTCCCCCTGCTTATGTCCTCCCTCGGCCTTGCTAACTCCTTCCCTTCAAAACTAAGTGTAAGCCCATATCATCCAGGAAGCTCCCCTCGAATGGTCACAGCCCACACTGACCTTGATCTCCCAATTATCTGCACCATTTCCTGTGGACCCACTGCAGTTTGTGTGCTGCTCTGCTGGGTCCCCTGCTAGAGGTGCGTGCTGAGAGGGGGTGGGATCTGAGCACGGAGGTGGTGAACTGCATAAGGCATACAGAGGGAGCTCAGAACCTGCTGTGAGGGGAGGGACCGCCCAGAACATGAGTCAGGTGGCTTCCATAGAAAGAGGCCCTGAGATGCAGGTTCCTGTGTAAGTGATTCATTCAGACGTCTTCCCAGGGGAGATCTGTAAGGACATGGGGTTGGCCGGACAGGGGGTCAGCCAGACAGGGGAGGGTGGAAGTTAGGGGAGGATGAGATTTTAGACAGAGTCCCACGAGGGTGGCTTCACTTGGATCCTGCAGGGGGGCTCCAGAGGGTAAAATACAGCTCAGAACTGTCCTGACCTGAGGCAAGAGGGCTGGACTTCCATATGTCACCAGACAGTCACTGGTTCAGGGTGCCCTGGGGAGAGGTGCATGGATTCCTCAGGCTCTTCCATCTCCCTACTGACAGCAAAGAGCTTCCGGGAGCCCAGATGCAGTCGTCCTCCAAAGAAGAAACTCAGCTGCCAGCCACTGAGAGCCGAAGCCAAGGAAGGGCCCTGCTGCCCACTCTGGCTACTTGGGCACACGAGCCTCCACACCCTACACGAGTGGCTGCTTCAGAGAGGGAAGTATCTGGAACATCCCCAGTTCCCAGACTAATTTTTTTTTAATTGAAGTATGATCAGCCACGAAGTATCAATTTCTGGTATACAGCACAATGTCCCAGTCATGCATTTACATACATATATTCACTTTCATATTCTTTTTCATTAAGGATTATTAAGATATTGAATGCAGCTCTCTGCGCTATACAGAAGAAATTTGTTTTTTAAATCTATTTTTATATAGAGTGGCTAACATTTGCAAATCTCAAACCAGCCTAAATTCTGACCCACCTGCCTTAGCTCATCCTACCCTCTGCTTTGCCATCCATGCCTGTCCTTTGCCCTCTGACCCCTGATAGCTTTACCTGCGCCTCAGATCTGATGAGGCCACAGTCTTGCAAGCCCAGAACTCTGACTTGCCTCCCTGAAGGTGAGCACACTTCCCCTCTGAATAAGCGACTTCTGGTGGCTCTGGATCCATCCCAGGACCTGGATGCAGAGGAGCCTGACGGATACACCCTGTCTCAACTCTCCCAACGTCTTGGCTATGCAGGCATTTCAGAACATGTGAGCCCAACCCTGCCTTTCTGTCCCATTGCTGTGTGGAGATGCCGGCCCATGCTTGGCAGCTTTACAAAGTCAGTCCTAACAGGGCTAATTGATACAAGTGACTACTACTGAAACTGGCTGAAGTGACAGAGCTGGAGTGGCATCAGGCAGACGCTGGGGGCTGACCTGGCCTCCCTCACAAGCAGCAGGGCCTGTGTCTGAGCTGCCCTGGGTCAGAGTTCTCACTGCTCAGGAGAAGCAGAGCCAAAGCCTCTTGTCCCTGTGGTGTTCCATACCTAGGAGGACAGCCTCATGTTAACCTGCTTGGCCCCTCCTTGGTGCACGTGCAGTTCTCTGACCCGTCCATGAAGGGCCTGCAGGAGGGACCGAGAGGCTACTAAGCTGTGGGTGTTCAGCTCAGTGTCAGCCAGCAAGTGCCGGCAGGACAGGGGTCCCTGAGGTGAACGTGCAGCTGCTCCGGCTGCTCTGATCCTGCAGACAGATGGGGCTGCAGACACACACTTGGCATGTGTCCCCTAAGCACCCCTGGCCTCACTTCCATGAGTCTGACCATCAGACATCCTCTGAGGCTTGGCAGGCTGCCCAGTCCTGACTCCTTTTCTAGACCCCCAAAGAGTCACCCACATTGACAGGGAGAGAGTGGGGTGGCTACATCATATCTACAAAACACCTTCCTACAATGAAATAGTCAGATTTCTATGTGTGGAGTCAGGAGAGTGGGAGAGTTATCCTGAGGGATGGCATCCATGGCTCTCCAAGGAGGGCCCAGCTGGGGTGCAGACAGGAGCCCCAAAGTGAACGTCTGCTAGGAACTGACTTGACACCAGGCGTGGGCCCCGGCACGGCAGCTCATTGAATTCTCACAACAGCAAGCACAGTTTTCCCTCTGCTCCTTAATACTGTCATCCCTAGTTGTTTATAAAATAAATTTATAAAAATATCATCCTTATTTCTATGAGACATCAGAAAAATACAAATCTGGGAGTCATCCCAAGTCCCCACATACCTGCAAGGCTTCGGTTTCCTCAGCCATAACATTGCTATGAAGGTTAATTGAATTAACATGAGTCTAGGACCTTACAGAATCATGGGTGGTTGAGATTTTTAAGGAAAAGAGGAAAGAGAGCATATTTTCCGACCAGCAGGAATTCAAAGATGGGGAGTCTGATTTCAGAGGCACAGTCAATTAACTTATTTACAAAACGGAAACACTCACAGACACAGAAAGCAAACTTATGGTTACCAGAGGGGGAAGAGGTGGGGAGGGATAGATTAGGCATTCAGGATTTGCAGGTTTTAACTCCTGTATATAAAATAGACAGACAACAAGGTCCTACTGTACAGAACAGAGAGCTATACTCAGTATCTTCTAATAACCTATAATGAAATCATATGAAAAGAAGTCTGTATGTATAACTGAATCACTATGCTGTACACCAGAGACTAACACAGCATAGTAAATTGACTACACTTCAATTAAAAATTAACAAAGGTACAGTCATTGTTTAGGAGCTCAAAACGTGAGCTCATTCCTTCATCTTGGGGACTCCTTGATCTCACAGAATATGTCACACATGACAGGGGTGTGAGAGACGCAAGGAGGACTTGGGGGTGAAGGTGCAAACCTCCAAAGACCTGGATCCGCATGCGTAAGAGGCTTTCCCTCAGGTTGTCCAGACTGAACCAAGACCGAAAGGAACGTTGCCCATCACAACCTTCCTTAAACATTCTATGATTTTCCTATCTAGTCATCAGCACCACAACATGCAAAATACTGAATATTACATTCGAAATAGTCGTTCCGATTATAATGATCATATTGATTGGCTATCGTGTTCTGGGACGGCACACCCCTTCCCCTACAGGATCTGAATTCTTTGTACGCTCATCCCAGGAGGTCTTAATTGCTGAGGTTATCCATGTTCTATGCATATTGATCAAATTGTCACTGTCTTAGATGAGAGGGGATGATACTGAGGCCAGCAACATTAGGTAACGTCTCCACGGTCACTCAGCTAGACTTGGAGGAGCTGAGATGTGACTCTGGATTTAACTTGCTCAAACCTCTTAAGTTTTCTTTTCCCACATCACTCCACAGGCTTCTGTGGATCTAAGTGTGAGCAAAAACAAAAACAGGGTAGCACTGTGCTGGTATCTTGAGGGGCCGGGAAAGGAGGTTGGAAAATGCAGAGTCTCTATCTGTTTGTACTTTTATTCTAGAAGCTAAATGTTCACCAGTTTGAGTAAACACATCTCACCTCAGCTGGGAACCCACCCACGTTAGTGTGTCAGCATTACACCAGCACGCTGAGTTTGAATTTCACAAGCTTTCCTTCTTTTGAAACTAGTCAGGCCTAGGGAGCAGCTTCATATCTGATTAAACAGGTAGATCTTCTGATAAAGTAAGCAGTCAGCCTGGAGGGGAGGTGAGCAGGCAGAAGCACCCCACTTGCCCTTTCCTGTTCAGACATCAGCTGGCATTCGGGTTTCTGTCCTCTTGAGTGTCCCGGGCCCCGGTGAGCAGAGGTGATCTCCGAGAGATTCAGGGATAAATGATTACGGAAGGCAATGGCGCTCTAAATCCACACGACTAGGGGCAATGGTGCACCACACCATCAGCTGTTTGGTAAGCCAGTGCAAACTGATCATACTGCTCCCCAGGAAGGAAATCACCCAGAGAAGCTGGGAAAGAATTATCTGGCATGGGGATGTTACAGAATTATTTCTCTTAAATCATGACTTTGTTGCAAGACTATCTGATGGTGCTAAACTGTCTCTGTTCTAGGATGAGAATTCAAAGGCAGATGTCTTACTGGGTCTGTTGGAGAGGGGTGATGTTGGGAAAGGAGCTATAAGCCCTCCCTTGGGACCACTCTGGACTGAAGTTTCCAGAATTGGGCTATTAATAGCCAGGTGATCACACACATGCTTTTCAAGTAAAGTGAAGCTCCAACCATTCTGAAGGCCATAATGAAATCATCTGGAAATGCTGAGTGTTTTTGTGGTACTTGCCATCTTCTGGACCAGGGTTTTCCATCATAGAGCTACAGACCCATGAGATGGACAAGGTGGATCCCTGCACAACTTGAGCATCCCTGCCCCTCCTGCACCCATACAAACTGGCCTCACAGTGGAGTGTCCTATTCTTTACCACCCAACGCATGAGTCATTTGGGTGGGGGACACTGCGGTTGATACAGAAGTGACAGGAGGTCACATGTGTTCTTCCATTCTCTGGGAATTCTGTCCTCACAACCAGACCACAGGTGCATCCCAGGCAAGGACCTTGCCTCATTTTATCATGAGGATGAATGACATAGAAAGTGGGTGACTGCCATCTTCCATTTAGCCTCCTTCTTCCTGTGGACACCCCCAGGCAGTGTGGAGCCAGGTGCCTCTGGGGGGCAAGTACAGCTTTGGCACAAACTCTTACCCTTGACCTCTCTGAGTCTCCAGCTCCTCACCTGTGTCAGGAGGCTCCGAGTACTGCAGGTGAGTGACCGAGGCAATGAATGAACAGACTAGTAGAGGCCACAAAGTTCGTCCTTCCAGCAAATGAGAGCCATCAAATCCCCACTTGCTAGGACATCTAAGCAGTTTCAGAATTTACTCCTTTCCAATTTCCTTAGCATGCTCATCTGTGAAGGTGGGCTTAATAATTTGCACCTCATACATTGGCTTATCAAGCTAGGTTCATCCCAGAGACACATGGATGGCCCAACATACACAAATCAATCGTGATACACCACATCAACAAGAGAAAGGGCAAAAATCACATGATCATCTCAACAGATGAAGAAAGAGCATTTGATAAAATTCAACACCCATTTATGATAAAAACTCTAACCAAAGTGAGTATAGAGGGAACATACCTCAACATAATAAAAGCTATTTGTGACAAATCTACAGCCAGCATAATACTCAATGGTGAAAAGCTTAAAAGCCTTCCCACTAAAATCTGGAACACGACAAGGATGCCCACTCTCACCACTTCCATTCCATATAGTATTGGAAGTCCTACCCATAGCAATTAGACAAGAAAAAGAAATAAAAGGGATCCAAATCAGGAGAAAAGAGGTAAAATTGTCATTACAGGTGGATGACATGATACTATATATAGAAAACCCTAAAGGCTCCAGACAAAAACTACTAGAGCTAATAAAAGAACTTGGCAAGGTAGCAGGATATAAGATTAACATATATAAGTCAGTGGCATTTGTTTACACCAACCATGAAATATCAGAAAAGGAAAGTAAAGAAACAATCCCTTTTAAAATTGCATCCAAAATAAAATACTTAGGAATAAATCTTACAAAGGAAGTGAAAGACTTGTATGTGGAGAATGACAAAACATTGATTAAGGAAATTAAAAATGACTTAAAAAATGGAAAGATATCCCATGTTATTGAATTGGAAGAATTCATATTGTTAAAATGGACATACTACCCATGCAATCTACAGATTTAATGCAATGCCTATCAAATTACCCAGGATATTTTTCACAGAACTAAAATTTACATGGAATCACAAAGACCCAGATTTGCCAAGGTTTAAATGCGCCCCTGTCTGCAAAGATGGGGGCGCAGTAAGGAGCATTTGATTGAGAAACTGTCCAGCATTTCCTCCACTTTGCTTTCCATCTTTCTATCTTCACAACTTCAAACTCATCAAATCACCACAAAATCCCCCTGAGATACGTACATTTATTATTGCCATCTTACAAATGAAGAAACAGACACTTAGTAAGGTCAAGTCACTTTCCTGGGATCACACAGCTAGTGAGTGATAGGGCTGGCATATGAGCCCAGGAGTAAGCCCCCTCTCTTAACACTACCCCAAGTTCCCATGGGGCCAGAAGCACCCTGGGGACACAGGTCAGGAGCTGCATGTCACCTGGTCCTAATTTCCTACCACACTTGGTTTGACATTCCATTGCTTAAAGAATTGCACTTATGGACACAGAATTTAACTCAACAATAATGAAAGCTTTTCCTTCCAAAAGGGTCCACTGTTTAATTACCTCCACTTCTGTGAATGCACTGCAGGCTTGAGCCACTCTACCCCACAAGAGTGTGGATCTTAGATTCCTGTTAATTAATATGGAGTTTAATCTTCTTTGATTACATTGATTATTGCTGATCTTTCAACCATCCCTGCCAGGGGGTATGCACTGAGTTCCAAAATATTCAGGCGCCATCATGCCAGGAGAAAAGTGAAAGAAAACATTACGCTGGGTTTATGGTCAATTTAATTAATGCAAATCCTCAGCTCAGTTCATTTCACCCGATAAAGTTTTCCAATCAAGCTATTGGGAACCAACCCTTCTTAACTATTTATTTTTTATGTTTTCTTAAAATTTTTTTTTCTGCAAAAACTATGTAAGGTATGGCCTAAAGGACACTGTTAAATTGTATCCAGTTCTATGACTCCATGGAAAACTTGCCCATTGACTAAAACCTTGAAAACAAAGAAAAGGGTCTCTTGGCAAAGACAGTAAATCTGTGAACTGGCAGGGCTGATGGTGGAAAGTGGGTGCGAATGTGAGGGAAAGACAGACTTGTGGGGAGGGAATGAGAGAGAAAAACAGAGAAGTAAGATGAGAAGAGGCTGGTGAACGCAAGGTTGACCTACTAGCAGATTTGAAAAAAATTTCTCTGGTCAATTAATCGATAGGCAGATCTCTACTGAATAACAATATTTAACATCTTTGTAGAGCCTTCCAGGGGCCAGGGCACCAGCACAGACATTAACACACACACAACAATCAAGGTAGGTATATATTATGGTTTCCATCCTGCACATATAGACCATGAGATTCTGAGAGGTCACAGGGGCTGCTTAGGGTTACAGAGCATCAAAGTCAGGACATGGGCTGTGT